AAAAATGTAAAATTTATATCATTTTTGTCCCTAATTTTTGAAAATTGACTAATATTTTGGGATAATTAAAAATGGAACAAGAGACTAAATTTTGAGATAGATGAAGTATATTTTATGAAAATAAAATGAAAAAGATTAAAATAAATTTTTAAATTTTTTATTAGAGAGAGAGAGAGAGGGGAAGAGAGAGAGAGAGAGAGAGTGGTAGGACGTGTTGTGTGAGTGAGTTAATTGCTTCTTCTTTTTTTTTTTTAACTAATCTCAACTGTACATTTTGGATGGGATGATGTGGTCCAATTTGGACTGTTGCTCGGAAGGGAGGCCGGAGAGGAAAACTGGAGAAGATCCTTGCTCGTAAACTTTTGTGGGCAGCTCATAATTGATAACCTGGACAAAAATTTAAGATTCCGTTTGGTTTACTTTTTAAATTACAATTTGATTGTTCAAAATTCAAAATCTTATTTGGTTTTGGATTTTTAAACTTATGTCACATTCAATCATTTGAAAATTCTTTTTAAAACTCATAACTAAATAAGTATTAAATTTTCAAATTATTTTCAAAATTCATAACTAAATAAATTTTATATTTGACCTTATTTGATTTATGTTTTGAGATATTATTTCAAAAATAATTTTTTAGAGAAAGTTTATAAAATTTGAAAATTTGTCAAAATAATTTTGGAGTTTGAGATGGTTTGAAATGTTGAATAGATGGGTGTGAGATAAAAAGTGACTGACAAAGAGATAGGAGAGAGAAAAATTGATTGATTGGTGTATAGTAAAAACAAAAGTGATTTTGAAAGTTTTTTTAAGTATTGACCAAATAATTTGTTATGTTTAAATATATATATGGGCGATAAAAAAACATATGTAAATAGTAAACATTTTAAATGAAAAAACAAATATAAATGTAATAAATGAAAAAAAAATATAATAAATATGTAACATTTTAAATGTACGTAGATTAAATGGCTATAAATCAGAAAAACAGTTTTTAATTTTTAACAAGAACTAATATATAAATATGAAACTATAGATTATATTAGATTTATTTACAAAGTACATTTAGATTACATTTGTAAAAATAAAAATAAAAAAAGAAAAATAAAAATATATATAACGATAAAATGTAAAAATAAAAACAAAAAATGAGTATAATATTGTAAAAAGTTTTGACTACAAGACAAAAACATATATATAAAACTCAAAAAAATCTAATAAAAAACTAGTTTTGAAAATTCCTAACCAAACAAGTTCTTAATTTGTAAATTTTTAAAAACTACTTTCAAAATATATAACTCAAAAACTAATTTCAAAACTTACAATCAAACAAGTTTTAAATTTTCAAATTTTTTTTAAAAAGCTTAGACTCCATTTGGTTTAGTTTTGAAAATCAATTTTGAAAGATAGTTTTTGAAAAGGGTTCGAAAAATTTGAAAACTTGTTTAGTTATATATTTGGAAAATAGTTTTGGAATAATTTATCTATTTATTTTTTTGTAGTTTGAATATATGAGTGTGAGAGAAAATTGATTGATTGATGAGTAGAATATAAGAGAATGAAAGAGGAGAGATGAGAAAGGAAAGGGGAGAAATAATTTTGAAAAATTATAAACCAAAAATGTTTTTGGATTTTTCAATTCAAAAGTTAAGGCGAATTATACTAATGGTTCCTATAATTTCGGATTTGTGTCACTTTGATTCCTGACTTTTAATTATGAAATATTTAATTCTGAATTTTGAATCTTGTTCCAAATAAGGACAATTAAAGATATCATTGCTTAATTTGAAATATAAACTAATTTGTTAAAAATAAATGTAAAAAAAAAAAATTAATTTGTTTAAAAATTAGCTTTAATTTTTTCAAAAGTCAAATAGAGTGAAAATTTTGATATCATTGTTAAATGAATCCATTAAATCAAAAAATTCAAAACTTAAAACATTTCATATATTAAATATATCAATTACACATTAAAATCATAACAATCACCCATTACATGATTATCATTTACACACATAATAAAAATTAATTTGGTAAAATAAATAAATAAATAAATGTCTAAAAGATTTATCAAATTTATATAATTTTATTTTTGGTGTGTAGAAATAATTTTTAAAAATTCAAAAATATTTTTTTTATATTTATTTTTGTCAAATTAGTTTATATTTTATCAAATTGACGATTTTGCTATTGAAATTAAGCAATAGTATATTTAATTGTCATTATTTGAAACAAAATTCATGATCCAATGTGTCACAATTGAAAAGTTAGAAACCAAAGTGACACGAATCCCAAACTATAGGGACTATTAGTATAATTTGTCCAAAGTTAAAAAGTAAACCAAACACTGCCTTATCCTCCAAAATAAATTTCAAAACTAAATCAAACGATGCCTAAAACTTCTAGAAGTTGTGTAGATCAAATAAAAATTTGAAGGGATTATGTTCAAAATAGAAGTTTCATGGGGTAGTGGCAAAGACAGAAATTCAGTAAAGAGGGGATACAAATTAATGATAATATTGATTTTGTTTTCTTCTCATTATAAACAACAACAATAGTGATACAAAGCTTTGGAGGATCAGCTCTAAAAACAGCTCTACTGAGCTGGCAGTGCAAAAAAAAAAATAAAGGAAAAAGACAAAACATAGTAGGAAAAAGGACAAATTAGACTCTTTAGATCTCTTCTTTTAGAGTTTTAAAACATTTTCTAAACAACAATGAGATATTATTAAACTTAAATATTAAGAGTCTATTTTGGTAGATGTGAATTTTAAATTAAAGGATTTGAGATTAAATTTTATATAAATATTGAGGAGTAACTATTTTAGGTGGATTGGAAAAAGAAAAAAAAGAAGAAGATAAGTTGAGATAAAAATTATATATTTTAAACACATCACAAAAAAATGTCTATCATATGTTGTAATTATGATTTTCGTGATCTTTAGTTATGACACATTATCGCGTTGGATATAATTTACTTATAACTTCTTGTGGTTGCTTTTTTGGTTATAACTAAAAAGGTCTTTGGTTATACATTAAGTAATGATTAGTTATGATTCATTATGATATTGGTTATAACCTATTGTATTTTTAATTTTTTTTTTTATCATAATTGAAGATGGGAGTAGGTTCCTTATAATTAGAAAGAAAATTTATAATAGTGGAACTATTACAATTTTAAGAAGAGATATTATTAAAATTTCATAAAAAATATACTCGCTCCGTTCCAAAATATTAGTCCATTATTTTATGATTGATTATCCCAAAATATTAGTCATTCTTTAAGAATCAAGGACTGATATAATTATCAAAATTTGAGGGGTACGTGCCCCAATCCTACACTGTCTCTGCCTCCGCAAGAGTCCCTGGGAATTTTAGGGCTTATATATAAAAAAAGAGAAGAAAAATCATGTAGTGCACAAGCCATCCAATTGTGAAAAAACATGTTTCAAAAGAAATAAACAATGTGAAATGAGAAAATTATTAAATTAGTTCCACAATTGAATACAAAAATGAAATTACAACTAACATGATGAAATAACCGTGACACATGAATCTAAAGTGTAACAAATTAAAAAATTTATCTAAAAAATTAATGTGATCTAAATTTTATTATTCATAGATTTCAGAACACACCATTTTAATCTTACCCATATATTACAATTCTAAACAAAAATATGATTTTCCTTTTTTGAGAGCTCAAACTTGTTGAATAATTAAATGAATTTTTCATTGGCTTGGCTCTTCGTTGGCCAGTTGCGTCATAAACTTGCGAAGGATAATTTTGCGATAATGACTAGGAACAACTTCTCATTTGGCACATGAGAGTCCAACGAGTCGTCCATTTACAAAATCAATCACTACTATTTTTTGAAATAATAAATGTCTTGAAATTTTAATTATTTTTCACTAAATTAATTTTTAGTATTTTTTGAAAAAAAAAGAGAACAAAAATAAAACAAAACAAATTGAATAATTTTATAGACACAGCCTTCGCTTGGCATGTGAAACTCTTTGATTTTTTTGACCATTTTAACTATAAAAAGATAAAATAGATTTTTTAACTTAATAAGACAAAATTATACATTTAAACCATAATCATTTTATTTTTTATTTTACAAAAGTTAAAAAAATCAAAAAATTTATCCCAAACAAAATTTTTTAACCCCAAATTAAAATAATCAAAAAGTCAAAATATTTAAAAATTAACCCCAAACTAAAATAATTAAAAATTCAAAAAAGTTACTCCCATCCCAAACCAACCCATAAAATCAATGAAAGAATCAATCACAAAAAATACATTTGAACTGATGCGAGTTGGACAATGTTTTTGTGGTGAGCCCCACGTGTATGATCATAATTATTTCTCTAATTAATTGTGTGATGTGTTGTTTGTACAGAGAATTAGGTCACGTTTGACAATTGTTTGTTTCGGTCTAAAAGTAAACAAATTATTCAAAAAATCAAAAATTCTATAATTTATACCAAAAAAATCAAAAATATTATCTTTCTATTTTTACACATCTTTTTATAAAAAATTATTTCTAACATTCAAATTTTTTTACCTCATATTTTAATTAAAAAATCAAAAAATTACTAAAATAACATGTTCGGCTTTAGTATTTTCAAAATCATAATTCTACAAATAAGAGAACCAACAAGATAAAATACATTTAAAATGATATTAGCAGAGCAATCTCATTTGTTAGGAGCCCACAACTTGATGTTTATGTGGTTAGAATTATTTTATACAGTTACTATTTTCAAAATCATTCTTAGTGTGCTAATATACTCTCATTTGCACTATATTAATTTTAGGGACAAAATCTTTGGAATAGAATTCATCTTAGGAGTAGCATGCCCCCAACTCAGAGAGACCCAGCCCTCAAAGATCAATATCATGCCTATAAGCATCAACAGCTTAGATGGCAATGTCACCAGAGGAGATTTCACTGTCATTCTTGTCAGTGCTTTTACAACTCATCAAAACACTACCTTAGTTGGAATCCAACTTAAAAAACACAATATACTAAAATGCATATGATTTTACATGCTTTCTAATTCCTAAAAAACAACCAAAGTAACAATGCCCAAAGCAAAGAGTAAGCACATGAGAAGAATGGAAACATTGGGAATCATCCACACCATCCAACCTTCAAAAACAAAACCAAAAAAAGGGCCAAGAGAAAATTGGACCGTGTTGTTGAGCTTTTGTGGGCATGACCTGTTTCAATCAACCAGTCCATTTATTTTTGAAGGTTCTACATGTAGATAAAAAATAAGACTAATTTGACAATGGTAACCATACAATTTTATCACATGTTTTTCAAAAAATAGACAGTAAAATTTTGAAAATAGATAGGTATTTTTTAAGATAAATGTGATAAAATCTTATAACTAGTATCATCAAATCAGTCTTAATTTTTTATGAATAATTTACCCGTAATGGACACACCACAACACCACATTTTCTCCAAGTTGGACCAAAAAACCCAAAAGCTTTCTCCAGCATTCTATTGAACAAAAAGCTAACCACAAGGAAATTAACAAAGCACAATTAAGCATAAATTCTAAAGATAGATAGCTGTCAAATGTATTTTTCCATAGACAAATCAGAAAATCTCTCACAATTTACATATCTAATGATGGCAATGAAAACCAAATACTTCTAATCCAAAGTAAAAATCCACAAGCATAAGAAAAGGTACATTCCAATTATTTGATAAAAAACATAAGAAAGGCAGAAACCATTGTGATGCACAAATTTGAGTACTCAGATATAGTGTACGCATTAGAATTGAACCGCACCTCTCACCACAGGCTACACACATTAGAAGCACGCATCAAGGAGGCAACAACAGCACAGAGCAGCCAAACTGCACAATATCCCAAATTTCAAATTAGAACAATACCAAATAACTTCCCCATTTTTTGTATTCCAAGGGCTCTCCTATGTTCTAAGAAAGAAGTACCCAAAAGAGGAGCTCAAATTTGAAATAAATGAATAATAAAAATCAATCTGCGTATTTTTTTCAAAGTACATAGCATTTTTTACATTTTGAGCAGACTCCTAAAATTTGTACAAACTTCGTTCACAAACCAATGTGACAACATCTTGAAGTACAGATTTAAGAACGCAAAACTAATAACACGGAACAGCAGTTTGTGAGTTAAGACTGAATTTTGTTGGTATCTTTGTATAGCATGAGTTTTCCAAGTAACCTATACAAAAATCCAACACAGATTAAAATCCACTATGGTTTCAAACTTATAGTATACGCACTTGGGCACAATAAGGTTCAGAGTTTACATAACAGCTCAGTTGTTTCATTGCTTAAACATGGTATCATTGAATCCTACGGAGCTATATAATAACAATTTCTAGCCAAATCAATGTTACTTTAGTTAATTAAGACTAAAAATTAACCTTTTCGAGTTAATATTTATATAGCACAAGAAACACTAAGAATAATATTGAATAATCCACTAAACAATGATCAAACAGAGTGACAGCTGTGGCCTGTTCAAGCTGTTGTGAACAAGACACTATGTTTTTTTTTCCAGACAATTAGAAAAAAACTCTGGCTCAGTTAATTAATTAGTAGGCAAAATAGGAGCCCAATCCCGTTACCAAACACCCTTTTGCATTCTAATTTTCATTAGCTTAATGGATTGGTGAAATTTTGAGGCGTCTATTCCAAATCAATCCCCTAATTTTTCATTTTTTCCAAAAATATCCAACGACCGATTGTAAGAAGGGCATTTTGGGAAACCCAAAAAGAGCAAGTTGTTGACAACTACGATTTGCACACAACAAAATTTCTAAATCTAAACAAATTTTCCCTAATTACGAACCAAATTTCAAAGTTGGGATATCAAAACCCAACAAAACCCAATTTAGTGCTCGATATTCAAATCATAACAACTGATTGTTCAGAACAAAACAAATAGTGTGAACTGACAAAAAAATTAGTAGTGTGCAAATAAAAAAACCCCCAAATTGTTCGATGCGAAACAGATCTATTCGATCAAGACTACAAGATACCCAGTAACCCTAAACTCCCGACGGCCGATCGGGTTGACTCGCTGTCAACTCGGTAAAACAACCCAGATCGAAAGTTCTTCTTTATAATCAGAGCCCCTTTTCACAATTTGAATGAACATGAGAGAGAGAGAGAGAGTTACCATCCTTCAAGGCAACCAGCGCCGCCGACGCCTTGTTGTTGTTGAGGGGGAGGAGGGGCGTACTGAGGGGCATATTGAGGAGGGTAGCCTTGCGGAGGGTAGCCCTGTGGAGGATACCCTTGTGGAGGGTACCCCGGTGGCGGATAAGCATCCTTTGGATACCCTTCTGGAGGATAACCTACACCCCAAAAAACAAAACCATAAAAAAAACCCAGATCCAATCATCCACAACCTAAATCAAGTTGAAGAAACAAGATCATGATTATTGAAGGGTAGAATGAGAGGGATGGGTTACCTTGAGGAGGAGGGACACCAACGGGTGGTTGTTGCTGGTTGTAGTAACTCATATTCTCTGTAGATCTTGCAACGGAGAGATATTTGGGACGGCGAAATAAGAGAGAGAGAGAGAGAGAGAGAGAGAGTTTTTTAGGGGGTAGGGTGGACTGAATAGGAGAAGATGGAATGGATAGGTGGTTATATAACACCAAAAAAAAAAAAAAAAAAAAAAAAAAAAAGAAGTTATAGTAGATTACTAGGTGGTGTATGGGGCAAACAAACGTATGTATGTAAAAGGAATGCGTTGGGGTTAAGGTTAGGTTGGGTAAGTGGGGAAAATTGCCGGCTTTGGGAGGATATATACATGTACTGCTATTTTTGGAGCGGAGTGCGCGTACATAACGCGTAAAATTTAGGAATCCCACACCCCGCACTATCTATCTCAACAGTCCCCTTTGGAATTGTGGTGGCAGTTACTCTCTCTGCAACGCAACTGCTCATCGTCTTCCACTCCATTTTTTTGTTTTAAGATAGAGCCTCATTTTTTTTTTAATTTTTTTAAATTTTTAATAAATTAAAAAAAAATTTAAGTAAAAATTTAATTTGATATATTACACTATAATCGTTTTATTGAATTTGACTAGCCGTTTAGCTAGTCATCCAGCCGATTGTCTAGTTGTCACGATCCAAACCCGCCCCTATGGGTTTAGCACCGTAATCGACCAGTAATCCGTGATTACTGAAGGCTTGCTTAACAGTAATAACAGTAATACAGAGTACAAGGGATGACGGAAGTCAAAACAGTAATAAAAGATGTCTAATGAGCTGTGACAGTCTATATGTAAAAAAGGCTTTTCATACATATACACATTCAGAATCAAAACAGTATATACATACATATACAATCATCCAGGACAGGGACCTAATCTCCATTAGAACAGTACAGTATAGGTACAATCAGTCTATACAAAAACAAAGACAGAAATGATGAATCTAAAACACTCCAAAAAGCCCTAACTTGAAGGACTTGGAACCTCTCAGTGAGGCACAGTGGTTGGCTTGACAAAAAGAGAGTTAAACCCAACGCTCCTAGTTTCGATCCGGTGCCTGAACATCTACATATATATATAAACAGTGAGCTAAAACCCAGTGAATAACATGTGCGTAAAGAAGTTAAGAATAAATATCCTTTCAGTATTTAAAACAGTCAGTTATAACGGTATATCAGTCATTCAGTCATAACAGTCATATGTGGTACATCCCATAGCAAAACAGTACAGTAGGTCTTAATAGACCGAACAGTCAGTTGATGGCCATCATATCAGTAAACAGTAGTGGTTCCAAACATGGGAACCGACAGAGATCTCTGTGACAGTAGCAGTACAGTACAGTAACAGTAAATTGCTATGGATGCCACGAATATAGTTCGCAAATAAGACAAGCATTCATTTAGTAAGAAAAATCATTTTAGAAAGCAGCACAGTTGATCATTCAGAAAATATTCATGATTGAATATATCTTTACAACATTGTTACTCACAGAGTTCTGGGCTACAGATGGGCTAGTGAGCGTCCTCGGATGCAAACCCTACACAGTTACAGGATGAACACACACTAAGTTGCACGTTTGGGAAACAATAACTTAGTCCCTATCTTGACTCGGTGTGGTTCTATAGCATTATCCTCATTAAGATACCTTAAACTAGGCCTAGGAATGCCTAAGATGGAATGAGGATGCAAAGATGCACTTTAAAACACTTTTCAAATTTTTGTTGGAACAGGGGTCTCGCTCGAGCGTTGCTTTCTCCGCTCGAGCGGACATGCAAACAAAAGATCTACGCTTGAGCGTGACTTTTCTCACTCCAGCGGACTGCAAAAGTACTGGATGCTTGAAATTCACGCTCGACGGGCGCTTGACCCCCGCTCGAGCGTGAGACACAAGTTCTCGCTCGAGCGTGCATTCCCTTGTTTGAGCGGACTGTAAATACATGCAAAGTACTGGATAGACGCATTACACGCTCAAGCGTTACTTTCCCCGCTTGAGAGGATTGCATGAACTCAGAGTGTACGCTCGAGCGTGGAGTTCCCCGTTCGAGCGTAGATTCAAAATCTGGAATTTTCAGATTTGTCTCCAAGTATGAAACTCAACATTTAAAGCATCAAATTCGATCCTTCTGGGCTAATTTTCTGGAAAACACTTTAAAACTCATAATATGATATGTTTCAAAGATCAATTTGTAAAATCAAAACCCAAAGGTAGTTCAATTGAACCCATTTCCAAACAAAACTTCAAGAACATGATGTACATGCAACATGTATGAATTTGATCAACTTCAAAGCTTCTAATACAAGAACAAATGAGTCAATCCTTCCAAAAACATGATGAATACATGAACTATAACCCAAATATGGACATGCATGTGAGGATTCTATGAAAACAACCTCAAAATTCAAGAATGTAAACATGCATGCATGATTTAAGTTTCAATTTAACAATTTAAAACCAATTCTAGACTTAAATCACTAATGGCTCATGGACCATGCAAGATACAACTAGAATTCAAGTTCAAGAAGATGATTCTCCTACCTTAGGTCTTCAATTTCACGTCTAGAAGCTCAAATATGCAATGGATCCTTCAAATCTTCTAAGTCTCAAGCAAATTTTGATGAACTCAAGCTTACTTCCAACTCTCTAGCTCTCTTTCACGTTTTTGGTCTCTAAGGAAATGAATGGCATATCAAACATGAGGGAAGTAGAAAAAGAATGGTCTAGGATTGTCCACTAAGTGGCAATTTGGTAATAAAGCCAAACTAATGTAATTTAACCTTATTTAATTCAATTTAATCATACCAAATCAAATTTTAACTAAATTTACCATAAAATCACATTAATTCTAATTAACACAAAACACTAATCAATTCCGAATTCGGCCACTGATAAGGCCTTTAATTTGCAGTTTAAAACATAAAATATGAACAGATCATTAGCAGTCAAACAGATAGACATGCATTCAAACTAATACACTTAATCAATCAGTCAGTTAACATGCTTAATCATAGATTAGCACTAATCAGTGGTGAGGGTTGTCACAGTCTCCCCTCCTTACAAAGAGTTTGGTCCTCCAAACTCGAATTACCTTCATTTTGGAAGAACACTGGATCTAGAGGAAACAGTTCAGGATATCTCTTAATCATATCGTCTTCCGTTTCCCAAGTGGCATATACGCCACCATGGTTTTGCCAATCAACTTTCACTAACGGAATCTCTTTGTTCCTCAACTTCTTGATCCGTCTATTTACAATCTGAATAGGCCGTTCTTCATAAGTGTAGTCATCACTTAGCACTACACAAGTAGGCTCAATAACATGAAAGGGATCCCGAAGATAATCCCTCAACATTGAAATATGGAAGACGTTATGCATATGCTCCATTTCAGGAGGAAACGCTACTTGATACGCCACCGGATTGATTTTTTCAATAATCTCGTACGGTCCGACATATCTCGGCGCTAACTTGCCTTTAACCCCAAAATGGGTCTGCCCTTTCATCGGTGTCACTTTAACAAAAACATGATCACCTACTTCATATTCTCTGTCTCGCCTTCGGACATCTGCATAACTTTTCTGCCGGCTCTGTGCAGTTTTCAATCTCTGTTAAATCAGTTTCACTTTTTCAGTAGTTTCATGTACAATCTCGGGCCCAAGCAAAGGCCCATCTCCAACTTCTGCCCACCAAATTGGAGATCGACATTTCTTGTTATACAAAGCCTCAAAAGGCGCCATACCAATGCTTGAATGAAAACTGTTGTTGTAGGCAAATTCAGCCAACGGTAAGTGGCTTTTCCAATTTTCCTGAAAATCAAGGACACACATTCTCAGTAAATCCTCCAGAGTCTGGATGGTTCTTTTTGACTGGCCATCTGTCTGAGAATGGTATGCACTACTTAGTCTCAGTTCAGTACCCAATGTTATCTGTAGGCTTTGCCAGAATCTTGATGTAAACTTCGAGTCCCTAGCAGAAACAATGGACACAGGCATTCTATGCAATCGAACAATCTCATTGATATAGAGTATAGCCAATTTGTCTGCATTATAAATTGTTTTGACAGGTAAAAAGCGAGCAGATTTAGTCAGTCTATCAACAATGACCCAAATTGAGTCCATACCTTTACTGGAACGAGGTACACCAACAATAAAATCCATAGTGATATGTTCCCATTTCCACTCTGGTATCGGTAAGGGTGTCAGTAAGCCTGCGGGTCGTTGATGTTCAGCTTTAACTTGTTGGCAATAAAGACATTTCGACACAAAGTCAGCAATCTCTTTCTTCATTCTTGGCCACCAAAAATTCAGTTTCAAGTCTTGGTACATTTTTGTATTTCCTAGATGGATAGACAATTTTGAATTGTGGCTCTCTTGCAGAATTCTTCTTTTTAGTTCAGAATCACTCAGTACACACAACCTTCCATGAAATCTCAACACATTGTTCTCAAATTTGCAATCCGGCCTCGGTTTAGATTCTCGTTCATCGATGATCTTCTTTAAGAAGTTATCCTGTTGTTGTTTCTCTTTAATTTCCTCAATCAGTGCCGGTTGAGCAGAAATAGCGGCTAAGGTTCGACATTGTTCAAGCAAAACAATCTCAACTTCAAATTTTTCAAGGTCACATAGCAATTCTTTCTACCCGGTGAGTAAATAGGCTAAATTCCCAATTGACTTCCAACTCAGTGCATTGGCAACGGTGTTAGCTTTTCCTAGATGGTACAAAATTTGCAAGTCATAGTCTTTTATCAGTTCTAACCATCTCCGTTGTCTCATGTTTAGTTCTTTCTATGTGAAGAAGTATTTCAAACTCTTGTGGTTTGTATACACCTCACATGTCGCTCTATAAAGGTAGTGACGCCAGATTTTCAGTGCAAACACTACTGCAGCAAGTTCCAAGTCGTGGGTCGGGTAGTTCTTTTCATATGGTCTCAGTTGTCGGGAAGCATATGCAATCACTTTACCATTCTGCATTAAAACACATCCCAAACCCTTATAAGAAGTATCACTAAATATGGTAAAACCATCCGTACCTGAGGGTAGGGTAAGGATCGGTGCAGTCACAAGTCAAGTCTTTAGTTCTTGGAAAGCTGATTCCTTCTGATCGGTCCAGTCAAATGGTTTTCCCTTTTGAGTCAACTGAGTCAATGGTAGAGCAATT